ACTTTGTCCGCCCGTCTGCTGTCCGCAGTTGACGCAGCGGCCTCTACAACTCTTTCCTCAGTAGCTTTTATTTGTCTGGCCCTCAGGTCCAACAATTCTTCTGTAGAAAGTCTGACTTTCATATCCTGTTTTTGCCATGTGGTCAGGAAACTCTCAATTGGAAACGTAGGATGTCGTTAAAACCATAACGTAACATGAGCATACCCAGTAGTCCGTTTTACGGTTATATTTTCAACAAATATGGCAGCTCTAAGATAGACGGGCCATGTTGACGGCTTGCCAACACACCATTTAGCTAACAAATTGGTCAAAGTGGCGTGCCCACGTTCAACCGGTGCATTAGCCTGGGGGTGTACTCTAGTAGTATAACTATAGTTCACTCCCAGTCTTTTCATAAGAGCCTGAACCTCTTCTGCCCGAAATTCACTGCCTCGATCCATCACAAACTCCCGAACGAATGGATACCGAAGGTAAAACTCTTCGATACATTCTGCCAGAATCTTCCCGGTTCGTTCACGGATTGCACGCCCATCAACAAACCCGGTAAGATTATCTCTCGCATAAAAAATGTATCTGTACCCATTAAGCCCAGGTGGCATAACGACCAGGTCGAGGTGCACAACTGCACCTGGCTCAACCACACATCGTGGGTTAAGTGGCTCAGCATAGCGGAGATTCGAACGTTTCTGACAAGGGACACACGAGTTGCAAAATTCCACCACCATCTTACCCATACCATCCCAAAAATAGAGATGTTGGATCTTTCTTAATGTCACTCGTGCGGATCGATGTTCGCCCGCTACCCCATCATGTAGAGCCGTAATCACATCCAATTGTCTGGGAACCCCACATACTACTCTCTTAGGCACACCATCGTCAGACTTTTTGAAGGGATGCCCCTGTCGAACGACAAAATCCTTTGTCTTTTCTCTTATTTCTGGCTCTATCTCTACCTCGTTCAGATCCCCATTCAACCAAAGTCCAATCTTCTTATAGATCCCATCATATTCCTCCTCACGAAAGGTTTCTTTAATCTCACTGCCTTCCCCTTCTTCCAACATTAACTTGCCGCGGTCTTCTTGTATCAATGAATTAAGAAGGAATACCATCCCCCCGGAGATCCCGAGGACTTCGTCGCCTTGCTCATGTCCCCCTTCAATCGTAAGGGGTTCTTCCGAAAGTTGTACTGGGTCAGACAATGCCAACCTCGTCATTTGTTTCGCGGACCGTTCGCCCCAGGGATCCTCCTCAGTAAAAGGCTCTCTCATCACAAGTTCTGAACACTTCTGATAACAACTCGGAGAACTCCAGATAGCCTTCCCAGGTCGGGACGAAGCATTGCTAATTTACTCCCAAACATTGATACTCAACTGTTGCTCGTTCGTTTTCAGAAATCCATCCACAGGAACCGAGTCTTCTGCCCGATCTTTCGAGGAGTCCCACTTGATCCGACTCAATCCATCGGCTCGATTTTGCGTCCCCGCAATACGCTCGATCTCAAAATCGATCATCCAGATATAGATCAACCATCGAGCAGTAGTTGGATCCGAGGGAGAATAATTCTTCAATGACTGCGCCAGAGCAGTCGGATCAACCCGCAAGACGACCGTCTTCCAAACACATAGTTACGGAAGATCCTGAAGCAATGAAGCACTGCAAGGGTTTCCTTCTTAAATTGGGAATATCTTCGTTCCACCTCATTCAGCGTCCGACTTTCAAATCTCAATGGTCTTTCTCGCCCCTCTCCATCCTTTTGGATGAGGACTGCACCCAATGCCGTGGGGCCTGAATCTGTTTCAACCACGAAGGGCCGATTCGGGTCACTGTCAAAGCACGAAACTCCCATGATCAATCCTCCTTCTCGGAATTGTGCCTTGATGTCGTCGACAACCTCCTGCTACTTTAGACCTCATTCCCATTCTTGATTTTTACGCACCAACTTTCGTAGGTGTTCCACCCTTGCCGCAAACCTGCGAATGAAGAAACGCCAGAATCCGCAAGTCCCCAAGAAACTGCGCACATCAGTGATGGACTTAAGCGGAGTCGGTCATTCCAAAATCTTGTTTGTCTTCTTGGAATCTCGCCGACGACCTTTCTCATCGCACAAAGAGCCCAAGATAGTTGCCTCACGCATACAATGTCGAGATTTGACACTGCTGGCGGTGAGTTTATACTCCTTTAACTTGGATAGGACCTTCTCCACGTTACGAACGTGCTCCCAAACAAACTTTCGAACGCCTGGCAGCACCTCCGTCTCGTCCCTGACACATGGCCTAGGCATGGCCAGATCATCGATATAAGGTGAGGTCACTTCCGAACAAAGCGGCTGCATGACTCTCATCATATATCTCTGAACGATTGCTACGGCGTTTGTCCATCCTTGAGGCGCCGCGCACATATGAATCAATCCCTCGGCGTATGAATGACCGTCATCGGCCTGTCTGGCGTATAGAGAGGGAATTGATCATATCAGTACAAATCAATGAGAGTGATGATAGGTCTGCCTGCGCACGACTCAGACAACTGATCGGCATGTGGAAGTCCTCCGGCATCACGAACCGTCACTGAGTTCAGCTTCTGCAAGTTCTGCACCCAACGCAATACGCCACTTGGCTTGATGAAACAAAACCAAGGGGACGCATATGGTCCATATGAGTAATCCGCGACCTTTGTCCGAATTTTGCCGTCCAAATATTCAACGACTCTACGATGATCATCCGGACTCGGATAACGCGGGCCTCGTATGTTCCACGGCTCGTGAGGTACCTTATGAATCCTGATTATTGGAATCATGTCAACGTCAAGTCTCCCTCGCTCATCATCATCGAAGGCATAAGCCAAATGAGTTATCTTCATGACACTGACAAGGAAGTCCACCTCCTTTTCAGTAAGCGACCCTTCCTCTCCAATGATCATATTCTTAATCCTCTCCTCCGTCAATCGACACGGCGCCTTCGCACTCTCTTCTTTCCTCATCCTGATCCATTCTCTCTCCTCTTTATAGTACACTTCTTCTTCTTGCGTGATCAAGAAGGGCACTGACCGAGCTTTCTCACCTACTCTCTTGTACTTACGTTTCGCTCCAACTCCAAATCGTCCACCTCTAAAAAAGGCCCTTGCTTGGCTGCTGGTTCTGCCAATACATCACCCTCCGAAGACCCGTCTGGCCGATAAGTAAGATACATTCTACAAGTCCCGCCTTCTCCTGCCACTATCTCTGTCAGCGTTTGGACCAACTTAGGGTCCACGGATGAGTCTGTCGCAACGAACTCGATCGCTTGAGAGATGTTGGGCAGAGCAAGAGAAAATTCCTGGGGATCGCTCTCTTCTCCGATGGATTCCTTCTCCCTCCTTAGTCTTTCGGATTCCGTGAAGGAGTAGGACCCCGGATTGAGTCGGTTCCTTGAATTGGTCGGTCCTGTGTTCTCCCACTTCAGCACCTCGTAATAGCCACATACGGGGTCACACAGAACCACGATCATAGTACCATCATGCTTGTTAAAGATGATGGATTCTAATCGACATAGGAAAGCTCTGCCCAACAACACAGCATGCTCAACCCAGGGTAGCACATAGAAGTACAAACGGACTTTGACTTTACCAACTTGTATCGTCACGTCACTCGTCGTTCCGCAAAAGGGAGTTATCCCACTTGCGCCCACCAAGAATCCAGTATCTGCTCGGTTGATGTTGACTCCTGCCCCCAGGGCTTCTCTCTCACGTATGATGTTCATCTCAGCTCCATCGTCGATGAGCGCCGAGTATTCGCACGGCCCACCTTGCACCTTCAACAACCCAGTTGTTACACAGTACCAGTCCATTTTTGTCCCAGGCGGAGCCCAACTAATCTCTTGAGGAAAGATATCACTCATCTTAACCGTCATAACCTTTTTCCTTGACAATCGATGTCTGAACTCCTCTCGGATTTGGGGCGACGCGGCCAAGAATCCTTGAGCGTGAACAAATCGCGCTGGCTTTCCAAAATCCGGTCCACGATTTGCTCAACATCCAGCCCTTGCTCTACTGAAATTGTATAGACTTGCTTCTTCTTTTTTAGCTCTCCTTCCCCAACATCGGCCTTGCCCGTTTCTGGCTCCCTCTCCATGGCTCGTTGTTTGGCCTGCCGCTCATCCTCGGCCCGCAACAATTCGTCCTCCTCGCCATCGTCTTCTTCAACCGAAATTGTCTCGGTTTCCCGAGGCTGACTTGGCCCTTCTTCTGGTGTTGCCCTTGGCCGCAGCGGCCTTCGAGCCCTCCGGGCCTGTGGGAGGCCGACGGGGGCAGGTCGCTTGAAAGCCGGACGGGACAAGACCGTGGTGGCCATTAAACGCCCTGCCGACGGCGATCCAGGTTGTGATGCAATAACATCAGTAAGACCTCCTTGGCCATCTCTGTCCCATCCCCCGAACAGAAAAACTTGGGGAAGCCCGGACCACTCTTAATTCATGTCGGCACATATTTGAACGAAAGCTTCCCTGCATCGAGTCATTTTTCTGACCACTGTCTGAGCCCGCTTCAGTATCTCTTCATGTTCTTTGTTCAAACCTTCATCTCCGGCCTTGGCATCTTTCATCGTCAATGACCCCATTGCCTCCTCCAACTCAATCTGTTCAACTTCTTCCGGGGAAGCCAGTCGAAAAGTTGCTGGAAGATCTCGTCTCATACGCCGGAAAGCTTCCTTTCTCATTCCTCCTTCTACGTTGGGATTGATGAGGCTCCCTTCGAAGTCGTAGACCTCGCCTCGGATATTCGTATATATAACCTTATCGTTTTCATCTTTGATAACGGTCTGACAAAACCGTATCCCATGCCCATCTTGGCCACAATACTTGCAAAACCAATTCTTCCAATTGCCTCGGCCGCCCCCATTTCCTCGGCCTCCCCCAACGCCTTGTCCTCTACCTCGACCTCGGACTCGACCTCCTACCTGAGGTTGGGGTTGCTGAGGAGGGGCCTGCGTCGCCTGTTCCTGGTTGCTTCCTTGTCCACCTCCTCCATTATTTTTTCGCTGCTTTTTACTAGAGCCTTGCCCTCCTCGTATCTGATTCAGGGCCTTCCGTTCTGCCTTGGTCAGTTTTCGAGGAGGCTCCACTTCCTCCTCATCTTCCTCTTCATTGCTGCTACTACACACTTCTTCCACAACGGGAGTTTTCCCCTTCCTTTTCCCTCCTTTTGTTTAAACCATCATCACTTGTAACTTTAACTTCTCCTCCATGTCAGCCATCATGTTCCGCATATCAATCAGGGTTTTGTAAACGGCTTGATCCTTGTCGGCACTTGCCCCTTCCTTCTCGCGGTCCTCTTTTTGCTGCTTCAGGAGGCGGTAAAGCATCTGGTCGAAGCTTCCAGCCAACAGATTTTCCTTGATCTTTGGCCTGTCGTATCGCCCAGTCATATCTTTCATCAATTCCCGCTGCTCAACTTCCGAAAAGTTTTCGAGGAAGATAAGGTACCGATCCTTATCTGGGAGGTCAGGCACTAAACGCACAACTCGTTCGAACTCCGTGAGAAACTGCTTGGCCGTACCGATCTTCCGACGACCGACTTTTCGTAAGTCTGCCAGGTCGAGCAGTTGATCTCCCAATTGGTACTTGTCCAATAGTTTGGCTTTGAAATCCGGCCAGTCGCGCGAGGCTTGCACCAACTCCGACACTTCTTCTTTGTACAAGACTATACAATATCGCTTCACCATTTGAAGCATCTTTTCACTCGTCCATTCACAACAACTGCTCAATTGCTCAAACTTGTTCGCCCACGCGGAGGCATTGGTGCCATCGAAGACGGAAACTTGAACTTTCGGCAGTTGCGCCTTCTTATTATCGGCTTCCCGAATGGCTCGTGCGAGTTCCAAGATGTCGTTGCGACGATCCCCTGCATTACTATTTGCGGGATCAACACTTCCTCCCTTCATCTTGAGAGAATCAACACGACAAACCCACACGTCCAAGTGTCAAATAGATTCCAACAATTCACTCCAAACCTTGCCTTCTTTTCTTTCTCCAAACATTGATAACCATTGACTATTTTCAATCCAAACAAACAACACACAACACTTAAAATTGCTATAACCATCCTTTTTCCGAGTGTCGTTCCGTCAGGGACAACGGTAGTTTGCCGTCATCCCCGACAACGGCGCCACCTGTCGAGCGCATCGCGCGAGGGCCCTCCCGGCTATGTCACGCAGGAGTTAAAACAAAACAAAATCAAAAGACAACTTAGGACGACGCATAAATAATCCCGCGAGCCGCCGAGACAGGCGCGGTTGCTTTGCCCCTTCGCCGCTCTAGCCGGGTGCGCCAGCTATACATCTCGCGGCCCCCTACGACAGGATAGCTTTTCGCGGGGCACAACTTACTTCCCTAAGGGGCTGTCACCACCCTCAGGGGCGTATCCATACCGAGCTACCGACCCACACGCGAAAGCTTTTACATGCAATTACAGAGGTAGGTCAGCCGAGGGCGTTTGCTCGCTCGCTGGAGTATAGGTACGCTTGGTTAACGCCAAGTGAACCCGAACGTTGTCCGTTCCCGAGGGCGCTGACCTCCTCGGTACGAACGAGCGTCAGTCGACTAGGACGGCCTCAACCAAACGTGAAACCAATAATATAATCCTAGTCCCTTTATAATTCTCGAATCACAGAATAAATAAATAAAATCAATATATGTTATATCCAATCTCATAAGATTGAATTTTGACTTAATGAGGTGATCCGCCAAGGTTATTTTTCCCACCTACATGTCCGAAGAGACAATTATACTGCCGTCCGAAGACGGGAGATCCGTCGTAAACTGCTTCTACAACTAAATATCACTGATACCATACAGATCAACAAGTGATCTGGTTCCTCATCGATGTTTGAACTCTCGGTTCGACCACATTGTCGTACCGCAGACATCTGCTTGGAGGAGCGAATGACAATTTTGCTCGTCGCCTTATCCTCCTACGCAATAATTACTCTCTCTGTTCCACGAATGACGAAGTACCTATCCCCAACACCAGATAATCGACATGGGAATGTTTCGTTTCCTGATACTTCGCCCTCGCCCTTTGGCTCAACATCTTCTCAGGTGTTCGACCTTCACTTTATTTTGCTTATTCTTAAGTGTTCGATTACCCCTCAATGCCTAAGCATGATAGTGCTATCATCGGGGCAATCTAGATACTATCCATCTGGTTGGCCTACCTACGCAAAATTGTTGTTTTTTTTTTGTTATTATTACCCTTGAAGAGTCACATAGATGTGGCCCTCCAAAAGGAACAACTTACCACTGCACCCAACTCGAGAGGGTGCGCTCAGTCAGGATAAACCTGTCGGCCCTCACGGGCCTCGGCCTCAATCCGGTTGAGTCGTATAAGCTCCTCATCGTCAAAAGTCAGGGTGGAGACACGTCCACCTCGCACGACTCGGACCTTCCGCGTATCATAGAGAGAAGCCACCCGTGAGGCGAGCCTCCAAACTATGGCGCGGAACGGTCGGCGCATCCAAAACAGGTGTGTGGTAGTGGTTTCTTTAATCCGGATGACGCCATAGCGCTCCCCGGATAGGGTAATTTTGACACTCACAATAACCCGGGAGAGGCATTGGAGGTCGCTCGCACGATGGAAGTACAAGGTATATCCATGAACTTCGTCCGGAAGTCGGGCCACATTGGCGCGAACATCCGCGCGCGAGTTAGGAAAGAATCCCTACCCATCACTGAGCAGGCCAATAAAACCAATCCACCGCGTGGACACTCCATCCCGAACCAGTAATAATCGCTCTGCTCGCCGGATCAGCTCCTCGTCCGTAGTGTCACGAATCAGTAGATATCTGGCCTGAGTGAGGTCTCGCCATCCGCTAGACATCTGCACACTGAAGAAGCTACCTGTTAGAAGAGTCACTCATAATTTTCACAAGCCTCGTCATAGAATCCCGTGACGTCGAAACGTTCCGAGCGAATGATATTAAATCTATTCGCTCGGACTCGTCTCAC